ACCCTTGACTTGGTGTTGTCAGCACCACGCTCTCCCAAGTGAGCTAAGCAGCCATCCCTATATAGGGATCTGAACCCGTGGCTTTGGTATTATCAGCACCACACTCTCCCAAGTGAGCCACGGGCCAGCCCTGACAGCATAATCTTCTGCTTGCACAAATACACAGACTCACACAAATGATCACTGTCATTTATACCAACTCCACTTTCACACTCAACCACGAACACATATACTCCCAGACACACGTGCATACATGCATGCCACAAAACACAGAAGCTCCATACCCACGTCTTGCATGTCTACAGACCCACCCGACACACAGTCACATTCACGCCCCATTGGGCATGCGTCCCCATATCCAGCCACCCTCATTTCCTCACCCACAACACAGGCCAGGACCAGAATGCAGAAGCAGAGGGAGGGCAGGGCCCGGAACCTGCATCTAAGGAGCCACATTCCTGGGGGCTTTGTCCCTCTGTCCCTCTGTGCTCAGCTCTCCAGGCTTGGGGAGGAAAGGCTACCATGAGCAGGGCCCTCCCCTGGCCACCTCCCATGCCCCTTGGCAGGGACTTCAGAGAGAGAGGCCCAGGTGACAGTGACAATCAGAGGCCTTGCCCACCCCTGCTGGCCTCCTTCCCACCCTCCCAGTGCCCTGGCCTGAAGACAAAAGGCTTTTAGGCCTCCTGCGTTGAACTGGGTTCAAATCCTGGCTTCCTCTCATGTGACAGCCCCTTTCCCTGGCCTCAGTTTCCTCCTCTGTAAAATGGGGGCCACAATCCATTCTTTAGGACATTGGTTGAACAACATGATACAGGGAGAGGTCTTGACATGGAGCCTGGCAATATAGGGGCTCACGGATCATAGCTGTTATTGTTTCTTTCATCTCTGCCACTGGGTCTCAGAGCCAGGAGCAAGGTAGGGTCTCAGCAGGGCCAAAGGGATGATGGCAGGAGATAGTGACACAGTCTCAGGTCTCCAGCCTCTGTTTCTTCCCCAGTGGACTGGGGCCTAATCACCTTCAAGCATCCCTTGAGTTCCAAGTTCCAGCTCTTTCTCCTCTGGTGGCTCTACCTTCATATAGACCTGGGCTTTGAATTCTGTCCTTCACCATGTGACCTGTGCAAATACGGTCCTTTCTCTGGGCCTCAATTTTTTCATCTGTAAAATGGGGGTTATAATAAGCGCCTGCCTTTCTCAGTGTGTGTGTGGAGTCTGGGTGAGGCTCACGCAGAAAAGCTCCTGGTAGGTATAGCAGGAGGTTGTCAACGTCAGGATCACGCCCAGAGCTAGGCAGACAGAAATAAGCCTTTTTCTCCTGGGGGATCCAGCCACAACCCAGGGCCCATGGTTTGGCCAGGAGACCATGGGCTACATTCCTTGGACTAGGGTTTCCAGGTAAAATATAGGTAGGACACCCAGTTACATTTGAATTTCAGATAAAATGTTTTAGTATAGTATGTCCATGAAATATTTGGGAATTGTACCAAAAAATTAATTGATTGCTGTTTATCTTAAATTCAAATGTAACTGGGTGTTCTGTATTTTTATGTGGTAAATCTGACAACCCAGCCTTGTCTATAACCTGAACAACTGTGTGGGAAAGTCCTGACTCAGAGGCCTCCAGTAGAATACTATCCATCCCCATGGCCCCAGCATGAGCACAGAAGGTGTTCAACAAATATTCCTTGGAGTTCCTCGCTAACAATAAGCAGCAAAATAAAACCACCCAGAGTTTCTGTTTGGGATGATGAAAAAGTTCTGGAAATAGTGGTGATCGTTGCACAACAATGTCAATGTACTTAATGCCACCGAACTGCACACCTAAAAATGGTTAAAATGGTAAATTTTATGTTGTTTATATTTTACCATGATAAAAAAAATCAAAAATAAAGAGGAAAAAAAATTAATGAAAAAGCAAAAACAAACCCACTATATATCGTGTTATGAAAAGCAGCTCCGGGTGGGGTTCAGAGCCCGGCAATACCTCTTCCCAGCATGTGACCTGGTGCAAGTTGCTTAACTTCTCTGGGCCCATTTCTTCATCCATGAATGGAAGTTATGGACTCCCTACCTAGCAGAGTCACCTGGCAGAGCAAGGGCGATGTGTAAAGTGCCAAAAAGACACTTGGTAAACAGTGACCTCCTGTTTGTTTAGCATGTGCTTTCTAGCACACTGTGTGACAGGTGCCATGGCAGGGCCTTTACCTAATTCACTGAATTGTCACAACAGCCCTATGAGGTGGGCATATTTTTTTTTTTTTCTTTTTGGCGGCTGGCTGCACAGGGATCGAACCCTGGACTTTGGTGTTATTAGCACCACGCTCTAACCAACTGGAGATGGGCATCTTTATCATTCCCATTTTATAGCTGAGGAAATTGAGGCTGCTTGGGTGGGGATTGGCCACTTAACCAATAGGTTTCCAACCAGGGAACTGATCTGGGGCTCTCTCACACTACCTAGCAGAACCAGAACAACCTCTGTCCCTCCCCCTCAAAATTGGGGCAGGGGTGGGGTGGGCCTGGAGGAGGTCTCTGACCTCTGCTCCAGCTCCAAGGTCAGTGTGCAGGGAGGGCTGTGGGGTGTTTGCTGTTTGCTGCTTGCAATGTTTACCCATCTCAGGGACAGGAAAAGGTTGAAGGTCGTTCAGGGTAGACCTCAGAGACAGCTCACAAACAACTGTGGGGGCGGAGGGGATGGGAACAGAGAGGCCAGAAGGAGGGAGTGAGGGATGAGGTGGTGGCTCTGAGGCCCCACTGTATGTCTGAGGGCAGGGAGCATCTCTGAGCCTGCAGTTCCCTGTCTTTGAAGTCGTCAGGCCTAGCCACGAAACCCCCAGATCACCCTCGTCTCTTTCTCTTGACTCCAGGGTTCCTGCCTCAGTCTGGACCCCATCCCCTTACCCCCAAATTTCTGTACCCACCTCCACAGCTGGTTGTTCTGGGTTGTGGCAGGGAAGTCTAGGATGAAAAAGAGTTTGAAATGTCCCCTCCACCTCTTCTGCCTTCTCTCTGGAAGACCTCCATTCATTCATTTCAAAAAACTGAGATGTAATTCACTTTCCAGGTCAAGGTTTGGATCATCCCTATACTGGCCAGCCACACACACACACACAGACACAAAATTGCATTCCATAAAATTCACCCTTTTAATAAAGCATGCAATTTGCTGGCTTTTAGCATATTCACAGAGTTGTACAACCATCACCATTATCTAATTCCAGAATGTTTTTATCATCCCAAAAGGGAACCCCATAACCATTAACAGTCACTCTTCATTCTGTCCTCTCTCCAGCATGGGCAGCCACTAACCTACTTTCTGTTGCTATGGATTTGCCTATTCTGGACATTTCACATGAATGGAATCATACAATATGTGGTATTTTGACTGCTTACTTTTACTTAGCATAATGTTTTCATGGTTCATCCACATTGTAGCATGTGTCAGTACATAATTTTTTTTTTTTTTTTT